CAAAGGCGCGTTGACATTCTTCTGGCCATGTCCACTTGTAGTCCTTGGTAAGTTGCTGATTTAGTGGGCCTCGAAAGCGCTGCATGGCAGGCAGGAACGAACTGTAGTAACTAACGAGACTGAGGAAAGACCCGAGGGACGCCACGTCTGTGGGTGCTGGCATACGTCTGATCGCTTCAATGTCCCCCGGGTCTGGGCGGTGGCCATGTTCGTCAATAATGAGCCAAAGGTACTTTATCGACCGCATTAAAAATGTGCATTTCTCTCGGCGCACTTTGAAGCCTTATTCTTGAATACCACTAAGCATGTAATCAAGGCGCTCCCGCAGTTCGTGGGGATTGGAACCCATGACAATGAGATCGTCCAAATAGACGGCAACGCCGGGGGCATCCTTCAGCACCGTATCCATAATCTGTTGAAATATGGCTGGCGCTATTTTGACACCTAATGGCAGTCGAGTGTAGTGGAACAGACCCCGATGCATATCGATCGTGAGAAGTCCTCGGGATTCTTCCTCAACTTCAACCTAGAGGTACGAATTGGCCAAGTCAGTTTTCGCGAAATATCCACCCACATTCAGTTTCGCGACTAAATCGACTGGAAGAGGCAGAGGGTGTTGATGGGTATCCAGCGCCGCGTTGAGTCCAGTGGAGAAATCTGCGCACGACCGGATCGTCCCGTTAGCCTTCTTCACCAACATAAATAGGTGTGGCCCAAGCAGAGTAGTTGGAGAACACCCGCCTTCTGAAGTCGGTCCGGTTCTTGGTCGACGATAGGCAAGGCTGCATAAGGCACTGGACGTTTTGGCCTGAAGACTGGCTTGGCATCAGGGAGGAGGCACAGTCTGGCTTTTGCTTTTGTACAACGTCCAAGTTCGTCAGTGAATACAGACGCATAACGTTGTAGGAGGTGCTCAAGTGAATGCTTTGGCAATTCACTTTGCCCGGGTGCTGCGTGTATGCCGTTGCACATAGAGTTGATTGGTTTATCCAGCAGATTTAGCTTTTCGATCCAGTCTAGCCCCATGAGATCAAGTTTGGGGCATTACGTCAGGTAGCAGGTGGCTTGTGCCGTCGAGTCATTGAAGTTAATGAGGCAGTCCACCTCGCCTGTCAACTTCAGTTTACCACCGGAAGCGTTAAGTGCCCAATGTTCAGCCGGCCTTATATGTGGCTTACCGATTCGTTTCCACGTTCGTTCACTGAGCAGCGTGATATTGGAGCCCGCATCAAGTTGCGAACGATCTTGGATGTCGCTGATACGAACCGTGAGGAACTTCCTTCGGCAAGCAAAATCAACTTCGAATGTTGCCGTCACCGAGTTGGACCGCGATTTGTGAGCTGCACGGTGGTGTGCGGGTGGCTGCAGACTTTGAGATCGACATAAATCTTCTTTGTGGCCACGACGACCGCACTTGGAATATTGGTGACGCCTGAACCGGTAATAACGAGCAAAATGCCACCCAGCGCAATGCCAGTAACTTGTGGGGGGCTTACTCTGTCCTCGATCGGGCTTTTTGTCAGATTTCCTGGGCGCGCTGTAGTTGATTGCCTGTACACAGTTACTTCAGGTCACAGGTAACTGACCGATAATAGGCGTGTCGCGCTTCAGGTTGATGAGGCGTTGGCATTCAGTAGTGAGGCTCCTCAACGTGATTTCGGCACCCTGTTCAATTCCGCTAAGCAGCCGGGTTCTGCTGTCAGCATCCTGGGATGACTGGAAACCGGATACAAAAATGAGGCGCTCAAACTGATTCTCTGTCATTGAGCAGAGCTTGAAGCGCTGGAAGTCTCGATTGACAACACCGGCAAACGTGATGGAAACATCATCATATTTCTTGACCAACTTAAGCCATTGGTAGCGGATATTGAACAGTGATGTTTGATCGCCGAATATCTGGGACAGTATTCTGCCCGTTTCATCAAAGCTGAGTTCGCGGGGCAGCTTGGGGAGAATTAACTTTATGAGCCGTTCATTCTCCGGTGTGCCGAGTTTTCGCAGCAATAATATGACTTTCCATCCATCATCGAATTTGAAAAAATCAGTCTTGAACATGTCTCCGTACCGCTTGAACCAGGAGTCAAAAATGTGACCAGAAAGATGGTTGAATATGAACTTCGCAATTGAGGCCGCGGCTGCATCAGTTGAGGAAACAGAAGACTCACCAGTACTGACTGCTGCTGTCTGGATATGCAGTTTCTGAGCTTTAGTTGCGCTTCTTTAAACTGATTTGGTTGCTGCTTCAATAGTTCTCGGAACTGATCAAATTCAATCGCCAATTGTAGTAACGGCATTTTCCTCAGCTTATTTCTCGGTCAGAGCCTCCCAAACTAGCGTTCACGTCCAAACAGCCAACAAAGGTACACAAGGTCTATTGATGCTCAAAACGAAGTCAGGAACAGTTGCGGAGCGCTTCGTATATATAGCGTAGGTGGTTATAACTTTCTGGAGTTTCTGACGCGTTCTGGATGAGCCACTGGCAACCGGCATTTGGCCAATACTGGGTCATGATTGGCTTTTGGGTTCAGATTCTCGACCAATCAGAACTCGCCTTGGTGCCTCCCGAATTCTTGGCCAGTCTCGTGCTGGCTAGGCGTATCGGCCGTAGCAGCGCTGGAAGACGTGCGGCATAGCGGGATGCGTGTGCACTCCTGCCTAACGGTAGGAAGGACGGACGCGTGGATAGACCGTTCCCGAAAATTTGGCGGAGACGTACTTGCCCTCGTAGCATCTGCGGAGATAGGGTTATCATGTATATGAACGCGATAATTTGAAAGGGGGGTTGGAAAACCATCATATACGCGTCATGCTATCTCCACCAACTCAGATTTGTGGAGAAATGAGGAATAACAATATTCATATACTATTTATTAAAATATGAGTAGCACGTCAATTATATTCTGCACACGGACTCTAATGTAACTGACCAATGAGATGCGAGCGCCGATAATGAAAACCCCCTTTGACGTGTCTATAGGGGTGGTTTATGGTAACATGATGAATCACACTCGTGGTAGCAGTCCTTTCAGTCTATCCCCACTCTGAATTAATTCTAGCTGACCAATCAAATGTATCAGCCGCTAAGGAAACCCCTCTGGAACGTGTTGGTAGGTGTTGCTAATGCTAGGAGGACGAATGATACTCTTGGTTGCAGCGACGCAATGTAAAATGTGGTCAAATCCAGTGAATACCAGCTAGGGAAGGGGAATGTCTGAACTCTATTCGATTTTAGTTCGTTGGACGAATGCCGATATATGTTTACGGAAAAAGCGGATTAACATGTTGCAAATCTCATTAGCGAAATATTTTATCGGTTCTGGTGTTATAAAGTTGAAATCTTTTAACCCATTTGACAGACAAAGACTTTAAAAGAAGACATTTTGCACATCTATGTTCGTTAATCAAGGCCAGATATTTTTCGGTATAACTACCTGTTTTAGAGTTGACCAAGCTAATAAGCTTATCTAACACGCCATTATAATTTATAAAAATGGCAAAATAACAAATAGTAAAATAACAAACAAGAATACACAATACAAAAAGACTTAAACAAAAAAGAAACTGAGCCTACTATCGTCATATCGGCGGCCCTGTATAGTAGTGGGATGACACGGGAGATATGTGGATCATAAATATCAAATTGCACTGCAAAATTTTCAATAAGTTGAGGGAACTCAAGAATTAATTGCGACATGATTGGTAGCTTTGGTTAAATTCTGACAGCAAAAAACTCGGCCCTCATGATCTCAATTAGGTGATTAAGTTGCTGGAAATGTACAGGTTTTAAACAAACAAACAAACAATTAATCCAGTAAATAATGCTTTTTGGACGCTAATCTAAGTAAGTGATAGTTTCCTAACATGGTTTTCATATAAATGAGAGTTTTCTCTTCTGTCTCCTCAGAGACTACTAATTTAGGTTGACCCTCTGCAAGTCTTTCTGTCGCTGAGAACTGATCTCTCTTTTGATTTTGGCAAACTGAAACCCTTTTATAGCTGGAACTTTATAATTTTACTGTTTCTTTTTTATGCAAAATAATCAATAGGTGTTATTCCAAAGAATCGTTTGTAATCTGGTGTATGTTGAATAAGAATGTGCAATGAATCCTAAACTTCCTAGTAGTAGTTTCACTGTGACCTCAAGGAAGCCGTTCATTGTATCAACATAAGTGAGATATAAAACTTCTGCAGCGATGCAAACGTTATAGTGCAATTCCAATGGAAAGGTTCTTCCCAAAACTCTTGTACTATAAAAACGCATAAATTTAAGTAACAAGATAGCTCCTGAGATTTTGGGAGTTATTCGAACCAAAGTCCTAGGGTTTGAAGTCAGTATAATGGTTGGTGCCGAAGAAGTTTACCACAACGCGTTCTGTTCTTATTGCAACTGGTGAGATGGATGTACGCAGATTTGATCATCTTATGCTTATATTAAAATTTTACACTCTCAGTTAGCACATTTAAACTGCTTCTCTGTGACCGAACACCTTCATTTGCAGTTATCAGTTGCAAAAACTTCAGAGCAGACGCTTGAAACACATCAGGTTCTCTCTGCGAATCGCGTCCATTCGGAAATAGTCAGATTCCTAATCAATTTAGGTGTGAATTTCAAACCACCAGCTCTCTCGTGTTTGCCCACCAATTTGTCACAAATGTATATTTGAGGGAAAGTTTTCGTAAGTTTTATTGACAATACGTTGTGATGCTTGAGAATAATTTGTTCTTACTAAACGTCTGTGTATGGTTGTTTTGAAACTTAAAATTTAAGGCGAACCTTGTATTTATTGGAGCTTTGAATCAAATTAGTTGCCGCATGATTCCAAGATTAAAACCCAGTCTGAGCATTAAAAAGTTCGGTAGCACGCTTTCGGTGCCTAGCTGCCATGTCAAATGAAGGAGGCACGACCGTTCTTAGCCTAGACAGGGAAAGTCCATAGGTAGAGGTTCACGTTGTTCACAAAAATCCTTCATTTATTAGCTCCAATGCAGTTGGGTTTGCAAGTCAAAACTACGAGGCATCCCGACTTGGAAACAAGAATAATCCACGAGAGTAGTGCATCTCAGACTATGTGGCAACTTTGGATTACCGGACCGATTATAAGACGCTATAATTAGTTTGGAAATAGTGTCATGAGTGGAAAAAG